GAGTCATTTTTTCTCCGTCCAGCTAAATAAAACTTGTCTAGAGCCAGAAGTCTTACATGACCCTTTAGAAAAGATATATTATGGAAGTTTGTTGTTATGAACCGCCATTTTATTTCAATTTTTAGGTTTTACAATAAAGAAAAACTTAAAACTTTTGTAAAAAGAGGATGAATTTTTCTTCTACAAGATGTTTGTTAAAAACATGTTCCACCTGAAGACGGAAATTAGAACAGCATATTGGTACTTTTAATGTCATTCTGTTGTGAAATTTCAACACAATTATTCAAACAAAAAAATGTTAAGTCACATTTGTTGTATATCTATATTTAAAAGCTGGAGTTTGTTTTTGTAATTTTTAGCCAAACTTAAGAGCTTTTGTGGGATGTCCAAATGTCTGGAGCCACAGATGGCAGTCCCCTGGTTTAAATCAAAACCTGTTTGTGTTTGAATGGCCCAGTCAAAGTCCAGACCTAAATCAAACTGAAAAGGGAAAGACGTAAACATTGTTATCCCTTAATATTCTCCATTCAGACTGAGATTTAGCTCTTTAGCCAATAATTATTTTGGTCTCTAGATGTGCAAACCTGACAGATGGGTACAGCAAAAGTTTAGCAGATTGTTAGTCAGCTTATTAAAAACTTAAAATCTCAATTTTACAATTATGCACTACTTTGTTTTGTTCTGTCACATAAGAAAACCAATGTGATTCAAAACATTTTTTTTACTACATATTAATACTTGAGGCTCCGCATTCCTGCTGAATATTTATTAAATTCAACTGAAATAGGAGATACTTGCTTTGGCCACAAGGTGGCAGTAGTTATTAAGTTCTGGGTGGGTTATGAAACCAGATTTACAGGTAGTGTGTTGTGCATACTGAGTATGGGGGTACATTTTTGCTGAAGCACTAAACTCCAAAAAGAGGTTGTTGTTTTTTTTCCCTCTAAATCCACATTTAATAAAAAGAGATTTTGTTTGACAGTATTTTCACCTTCCGGTTCCTGGAACTGGATAGCAACTCTTTAAAATCCTCTGAACACAGTTATAAATAATTAAGAATGTAAAATGTAAGAAATTCTTGATAAAAGAAGTAGCTGAAGTTCTTTGTCCACATGTTACAGCATGTTGGGCCAGTAGCAGTTGGCTCTGTAGCCAAACTGCAGAACATTTCCTTTAAACCGTCTCATAGTCGTTCCCCTTCACCCTCGAAAACGCTGCCAAGTGAAGGAATTGAGGCTTGAATGAGCACAGAGGCCCCCAGAATCTTTTTACTGTCACTGGCTCATAAAAACCCTGCCTCCTTTGTTTCTACCAAGGAGTGTACTGAGCGACGATAGAAGGGGGTAAAAACAAAACAGAAACATTTGTATGAAGTGCTGGAAGCTGTTTCAGGGGCCAAACTGCAGAGAAACCTCATGGGGTCGTCTTCACCATGAAGCTAAGCCTTTATTCAGGAAAAAAAAAAAAAAAAAACTAGGCAAAATATGGTTGAAAGGAGAAGATGGCCGAGAATCCCTGAGGTTTTGTCAAAGGATATTTCAGAGCTCAACGAAGGTGGAACTAATGTGGCATTTTTTTTAAATGGTTCCAGCATTTCTCTTTACAAATTGGTGCTAATTACCCTAAAGTCCAAAATCGGGGCTGTGACCTAAGAGCAGTTTACATTTGAGAAGTGTGGCCAGAAGGTTCTCCTCATCTGATCTTCAGATTATACAGAACATTTTATCTCATGGCTCTATCAGAGAAGGAAAAAAGGAGCTAAACGTGAATATAAGCCTAGCTGCTGGACATTTTAATGACCATAGTTGGTCAGGAAAGCGCAAACTTCTTCTGAATAATATATAAATAAGATGACATGTAAAAGTATTTGTACCCCTTAAACTTATATTTTTCCCCAATATTCCCTATCTCATGCATGAAGCTGTGGCTGAGCTCTGGAGTTCCTTCAGTGACAGACTGCTGCATCTTATGTGCACAAAGGAGAGTTATCATAGATCCTTCCTAGCAGCTGTTGCACTGTTTGAAAAAATATATATTTTACAGTAAAATACCAGCATCTGTAGTTGCAAGAATTTTACCATAGTAAATATGGCTATAGTGTACAAGACATGGTATGTATTATTTTGGCAAATGAGGGTTGAAATTAGGGTTGGAATTTGGATTGGAAGACAGAAGACTGATCGTAATATGAGCAAAAACTTGAAGAGGGATTTTATAAAATCTGTAAGGGATACAAACCCCCCCCCCCGAAACAAACAGGAGTAGTTGCATGATATGACTACATTTTTAATATTTGAATGGCATCTCTAGCTGAAAGCATGTGAAAGTATTTAAATAACACAACGTTTTTAGTTCAATCTTTCAGAAATTATGAGCTTAGGAGTTCATCCATTAATTTCAGTGGGACCCAAGATGATCACAAAAAGCTGAATATTTCTTTAACTGTTGTGGAGATCAATGCCAAAAGACATAGCTGTAATGTCCTGAATGAGCAGAATATGGTAAAAGTTGAAAGGTCGAAATGGCACAAAGTATTCAGAAGTAGTTAAGCCTTCAGCATTTATACCAATAAATACTTTAGCAATGTACTGCAGACTATTAAAAGACTCAATAAATTTGATCAAAAGCTACTCGTATAGCACAAATACTATTAAATTACGTTCAGTGTGTCTGTTTCCTCGCCATCTTTTGTAGTGTCTTGTCCGCCAGTGACGGGAGCTGTGCAGGTAATTGAAGTATCCAGGTTGTGTTTCAGACACATTCCTCTGAGCAGTGCACAGATGATCAAAATGAGACAGAGGCTCAGTGTAAACACGAGCCTGGTCCTTTAGTCGCATTTAAATTGGATGTTAAATTGCCGTCCATGATGCCGTCTAAATCCTCAGTCCATTTGCAGAGTTAAGATTCATAATTTGTAATCAGTTCATGCTTCTGAATACAGAGACCCTTTTTCTGCTAGAAAAGAAAATTATAATGATGATCTGACTCACTTGTCCTCTTATTACCATCCACCCTGCTCGCTTTTATTTGTTGATCTTTTTTTCTTTTTTCCAAGGCAAATTCCTTTCTCTCATTTTGGGAAAGACAAAGTAAAATTGTAATAACAATGTGCAAAAATATGTAGCAGGTTTAGGCGCAAAACTGACATTTATTGCAAATATACTATGTTCTTTGGCAGGTAAAAGGCTCCATATATGTTTGAGGAGGAGGGGGGTCAATGACAATTTCACATATCTAACAAAAATGACTTTGGCCTTGAACCAGAAGTATTTATTAGATGGTATTCTGTTATCACCTCTGGAGCAAAGGAATAGAAACATTTTGTTATATCAGGAGCACTGATATAGCGCAGGAGACTTTGGGGTTATTACAGGACCGTGATACATTGAGATTGCATTTAGGCTGAGGCAAAACTTAGGATTTACGACCTTGAAAACTCTCAATTATTCAGGACATTTTAAGGATGTGAATTCAACTCTTAACCTTGGCAAATCTCGGTTAAACTCAGGAAAATACAGGCATGTGTAAATCTACAGGCATGGACACCCTGCTAAATCTTCAGTTATTTATTAAAGCAGCAGTATTGTGTGTTTTTCAGCCACATAGTGCCATTTTATAGCACAGTGAAATAACTATTATTCCTTGAGTTGTTACAAAAATACTGTATATATCATACTATGTGGCCATTTTCTTTCTAAAGATATTAAATTTTGAAAAGCAAAAATTTTGCAAAAACTTTTAAAATACCTTTCCTATATATTTTTTTTTTTGTGGAAACAAGGGATAAAGAAAATTATGTCTGTTGCTTTCAGTCAATATGTTACTGACCTGTTATTCTCTTTCACAGATTGATCACTTTGGATTCCTCCAAGATGGCACTTTTAAGCAGAGATACCTTGTGGCTGACAACCACTGGCAGCAGCCAAATGGACCTATTTTGTTCTACACTGGAAATGAAGGAGACATCACCTGGTTCTGCAACAACACTGTAAATATAAAGATGTGTCACTGCATACTTGTAGTGTTTAGCCTTACATCAGGGGTGTCCAAAGTGTGGCCGGGGAGCTATTTGTGGCCCTTGAATTGATTTTGTTCAGCCCCTGTCAAGAATGTAAGTCAAGAATGATTAAAGAAAATTGCTCAACAAAACTGAAAACAGTTGATGACCCCCTAAAAATTGGAAATTGCCTTATTTCTTTTAACAACCTGTTTTTGTATATTTGGGATCTTTAATGATTAACAGTTTTCATAAAAAGTGCTTATTGTTAAGCAGGTAAAATTTTAAAGGAAAATAAAGCTCACAGTTAATTAATATTTGCTTTTTTTTTAATTTAATGAATTTTGTGGCCTCCCTCCCAGTAGTTTGCCACCAGGGCAAAACGTTCGTACCACTGCCTCCTGTAAAACCTTCAACTGCTTTTCAGGGCTTCATGTGGGAAGTTGCCGAACAGCTGGGCGCCATGCTGGTTTTCGCAGAACATCGTTACTATGGAGAGTCTTTGCCGTTTGGTCAAGACTCGTACAGTGTGAGTTAAGATCCAAGTCACCAGTCTGCATATAAAAACAGATCTATAAAGTTAACGTCAAGAACCTGCACATGATTCTTAATTTAAAAGCATTTCACTCTGAATGCAGGACGTCAAACACCTGAATTACCTGACATCGGAGCAGGCCCTCGCAGATTTTGCTGTGCTGATTCAAAACATCAAGACCATTGTACCGGGTGCTCAGAACAGCCCTGTCATCGCCATCGGAGGCTCCTATGGAGGGATGCTCTCCAGCTGGTTCAGGATGAAATATCCAAATATTGTTGTTGGGTAAGGTTGTCATGCACAATTTGCCTCATATGTTTTGATATTTAAACATCTGAGAAAAACGTGTGACGTTCACCTTTACGACTCGCCTTGTGTTTGCAAATCTTCTCCACATATGACAGAGGGAAATGGATGTGAAGTTTTCGAGCAAGAAATAGATTCAGTTCTGTTTGTTCTTGGCTTTCAGGGCTTTGGCAGCATCTGCGCCAATATGGCAGTTCCCTGACATGGTGCCATGTGGAGACTTTTATAAAATAGTAACGCAGGACTTTGCCAAAAGCGGCAAAAACTGTGACGCAAACATCAGGAGATCTTGGAAGGCCATAAATAACGTCTCCTCCTCTGGTGAGTTACAAGAGCTGGATTATCTGTAGGAAATAAATCATATCATGTCAGATTGTTTTGTAGTACCCTGAAGGAATTAGTGCCTTTTTATTTTATCCCACAGCATTTTTCTATAAAAGGATGTAACTTTTTAAAGTGTATTTAGAACATTTACAGAAGGACATGAACTTAAAAAGGATTTCAGAAAAGTGACTAGCCGGGTCTGTCGGACGTTCGCATAATAATAATAATAATAATAATAATAATAAAAATAATAATTCTGAGACTTATGAAAAATGGTGAATAACTATTAGATATCAAAAAGGATTCTTGCATAGAACGGATTTTTGTATTTTCATAAGAGTCTTTGCTGCGTCAAACACACAAATATGTGCCTCAGCTTTTCTGTGAATATTTTAAAGTAAATGAGTATTTACTTTTCACCTGAACAGCCTGATTTGACAAGATAATGGATGTTTCATTTACATTTAGAGTAGCAGCACATTTCTGACATTCAAGCTGTAATAGCTAATGGAAGCTATGTTAGTTTTTTTTTTTTTTTTCCTTTTGTACCACAGGGGGGAACAATCACACAATGAATAACATTAAAAATATTGCTTCACATTGTTGGGAAATTTTTTTAATGAATTTCTTTTTTTTTTTTTTTTTTTTTTTCATCAAGTATCTGGTCTTCAGTGGCTGTCAGAAGAGTTCAGTTTATGCTCCCCTCTGAAACACAAGAATGATGCTGTGAGCTTTAAAAGCTGGCTTCAAGAGACCTGGGTGAATCTGGCCATGGTGGACTATCCTTACGAAGCCAATTTCCTCCAGCCGCTGCCTCGTTGGCCAATCCAGGTACAGACTGGGCTCCAGTAAACATACTGGGAAATATGTAGTTCTCCCACCTGGCTCGACTGAATATTATGTTTAATTTCTTTTCTGTCTTTTTTCACCTTGACTTTAGTTCTTCTACTTATTAAGTGCTCTGGATTTCATAAAGTGCTATACAAGTACAAGCCTTTTACCATTTTAAATGCAGGCCACACTTTACAGATTTGTATTTCTCTACTTTGTACCGGCCTATCACGTAAAATCCTAATAAACGTGTGGATGAAATGTGGAAAAAAAGAAAAAAAGTTAAGAATACTTTTGCACCATTGTTTGGGTGCAGTCTATTGAGATACTTTTTGGCATTTCACATGCTTTACACTAAGTTCTCCTCTCTCCTCATTGGGCTGCCCACAGGAACCTCATTTTTCCACCAGTCTGATACTTTTCTGTTATTTATTATTGAGCCATTGAATGGATCCGCAAGCGTCATGTTTCATCATGTGAAATGAGCACTAAATGGTCACTTTGAGGTTTTTCTGGCTCCTTTCTCTTAATGTATGCAACCCCTATGGGTGGTTTAAGCGGTTTAGGCAGCGGGTGCAAAGAGGAGCTTTTTTAATGACAAAGCTAATGTGATTATCTGAGTGAGTGTGAGAACGGGGTATTGAAGGCTTAGAGAAGGGAAATCTGTTGGCAGAGATGAATGTATAAAACTAATCCTATCTGAAAAGTAAGGAGAAGATGCTTTGGGGCTATTGCAGTGTTTTTTTTTCTCTTTCTCTCTCTCTCTCCACAGTATAAATCTTTAGTTGGACATGTCTGTGGCCCTCCTCAGCCATCGACCACCAACTCCTCCCCTGCCCATAAACAAAAGCCTTGGTAACAAACTCCACTCTGATGCCGATCCCCTCCAACCTCTAAAAATAAAGAGAGCCCAGTTTTTCTGCCTCACAAAAGGTGCGGAACAACAGCGGCGGCCAATTCTGCTGCCGCAACCATAACAACACGCAGTGAAATCAAACAGGAGCTGAAACGCAAATATTTATCATTCACGCTAATAATGCAGAGAAATCAGCGAGTCAAACAAAACAGCAGGGACGAGATTTAGGCCTTTACATTTTTGAATTATTTAACTTGTTCTGTCTGAATACATGGAGAGTTTTTTTTGTTTGTTTTTTTTTCTCTCACGCCAAGGTTAGAGTAATAAATTCAAGTTCATTCCAGGGAGTTTCATATGCAAATCAGGCGCCACCTTTATGCGTGGAAAAACACTTAATGGCCAACAAGAAAGCATTCTTTAGTCTTGTAAAGAACTTAAATTTAAGAGAGTTGGATGCCTGAATTTTTTTCACTCGCACAGAACTTTTAAAAGGTGACAAAACTTTGTTGTGAACAAACCTCAGTTGTTTTGGTTTCATTTCACTCCTTCGCTGTTTTGTACCTTTTGTAGGCTTAGTTGTTCCACACCTGACTATTTTGGGTAGGAAATGGGGCTCTCTGGTACAGTTTTTAGCCTCCGTGGGCATAAAGAACAGAACTCATTACGTTGGTTTCGTTGTCCCGTAAAAACAGTACAGGGTTCCACATCTTGTCAGTGGTATGTTCTGCTAGGAAACCAATACAGCTTTGCATGGAAACGGGTTTTGTCTGATAAAACGAAGCAAGCAAAATATGCTCAAAAATTTTTGACTAAGTTTTCTTTCACAATAGTATCTGTTTACTTGATTACAAACATTGGTAATACACGGAAATAGCTTTTTGCACCTTTGTTGAGTTATGAAGAAACTACGATTGCCTCAAAGATGTGGTTTGAAACAAAACGATGACGTATATCGGTCCAGAAAGGGTAAAAAGGCCATCTTTAAGGCTTTGGGATCAAAATCTACAAATAAAGAAAACATGAAACGGTGGAGAATCTCCCAATGAATGGCAGACGTTCAAAATTACACCAAGAGTGAATGAAGGACTCCTCCAGACAGTTACAATAGAACCCAAAAGAATATCCAAAGTAATAAAGCCCCCATTTATATTTGCTCTTATTGTCATTCAATAATAAGAAACAGAAATGTGGCCCTCAATAGAAACGAGGTCAGGACAAAAATAAACTCAAATTCAGAGTTTTCAGAAAATGACATACTGGTAGTATGTAACATTTGAGCATTTTTATGACCATTTATCTTCATTTTTAATGAAAATACTAGAGACATGAACTGGATTATTTACCGTTATGGAATAGAACTAGATCAACTTATAACATTTGGGTTTTAAATCATGATAAAACATGACAAGGTGAGGAAGTTACCTTTTTAAATATGCTGATTTTTTTTTTTTTTTAAGGTGGTGTGCAAGTATCTTGGTTTCGACGCCACCGTGTCTGACGAGCAGCTGCTGCACGGTGTCGCCCAAGCAGCGAAGGTCTACTACAACTACACAGGAAACGCTCCTTGCCTCAACACTTCTCAGACGGCAACCAGCAGTCTTGGTGCCCTCGGCTGGTTTTTCCAGGTATTTAAAACACCTTAGGGATTTTCCGGGGTATCAGTGGGTGAGTTTGCCTCTCAGAGTGAACATATGTTTCATCCATCCACCCCAGGCCTGCACAGAGATGGTGATGCCCATGTGCACAGATGGAGTCCAGGACATGTTTGAACCAGAGGAGTGGAGCTTCCAGGCCTTCTCTGATGAGTGTAACTCCGTCTTTGGCGTCAGGCCTCGAGCCGATTGGGCTGGGACGGTCTATGGAGGAAAGAAGATTGGTTCCCATAGCAACATTATCTTCAGGTATGAGACCATAAGTAAATATTGCTTAGTGTGTTTGGGTTTATTAGGTGAGGAAACAACTTTTACCACAGGCAAATTGAAACTAATCAGATTGTTCCGTCCATACATTGCACAACTTTTCACACCTCTAGGAAACAGCTTAGCAGCGGTAGGCACACTTCTGCTAATGTGCTAACACAAGAGCTAATTCTTTGTTCAATGCTTTTGCTAATTTTGACAATGTTTAGTGCACTTAGCTTCCCCTACTTTTTCTTCTCCAGATGAATTCTAATGCGCTAATAATCTACTTGGCTGTTTTGTAAATTTTCAGTTGAATAAAGTTTGACATGGACGTTATTGTTTTGGTTATCAACTGTTAAGAAATCTTCAAAAAGATGTTTATGTCCATGCTCTTAATTTGAAGTGGTTGAAGACTGGTCATGCAGCAGTTCTGGAGCAAACAGTGAGAGGAATCCTGGACTGTTCCTTGTTCCACAATTTCTTTGACTGTCCAGTATCAATTTCTGAAGTATTTTTGAAAGACTGGTGATTTTGTGTGAAATAAAACTATTTCTGTATTGATGTGTCCATATTTTATGAGTCATTATCTAACTGAAAGACCCAATAATGACTCATTTCAAGTTTCCCTGAAGAGACACTCAGAGTTTTATTTAAACTATTTGTTTGATTCAGCTGCATTGTGTTGCTTGACAGATGTTATAATGCTCTTATATGGTTTTGTGCCTTGCGTGCAATTCTCAGTGCATCTTTTGAATTTTCTAGCAACGGCGGACTTGATCCGTGGTCAGCTGGTGGAGTCACCTCCAACATAAGCCAGTCTCTAGTTTCCATTATGATTCCTGACGGGGCTCACCACTTGGACCTCCGCTACAGCAACAAGCTCGACCCACCCTCTGTCCGAGCTGCAAGGGCCTTAGAGTTGAAGTATTTTCAGAAGTGGATCAGGCAAGCTCAAAAGTCGACTGGAACTGGATTTACTATGTCCAAGAACAGGAAAAATTCTCCTTAAGATGTTATTGATGTGCAAGATTTAGCTTTAACTTGCATGACACGGAGTTTCATACGGTGCTTTCTGATTGAACAATGCCAAAGTTTGTCCTTTACTATGTAATATTTTTGTTGTTTGAGCTTTTCTTATCTAGTTAGAAACACTCCATTTTCAATGCCATAATATTTGTAAACATATTTTCATTCACATATCTGCTAAAAAAAACTGCTGACAGAAATGCATTTTCTGTCCAGCTATTCAAACTATCATCTTTGAAATTTTGATGTAAAAACTGGCACATTTTCAGTTTATTTATTTTCTTAAAGTAAAAGCAGATACGGCTTGTCTGTCCACATGGTGATATTTGTCTTCTTTTTCGGAAATCAGGGCTGTTTTTATATTTTTGAGTTTTGAATCTAATTTTTGATTAGAAAATGACAATTTATCATTTTATTATCATCATGGGTAATTCAGTAATTTGTTCTTTCTAAGTGTACTTATAGGAGCCTCAGGAGAAAGTTTTGGCACTAAATATGAATGAAATTGTTTGCATTGAAGTCTTTTGTTGTCCTAACGAGAACAATAAAGAAATTGTGCTGTTCAGAAAATGATTTTTTTTTTCATCTTTTTTAGATTTGTATTGAATTTATGCCTTGTACAAACTACAAATTAATAATTGTCTCAAGACTATAGACACAGTGCCTTCTTGTACTAGCACCATTTAAACCTTTACATATTTTATCATGTTTCATGTCTCAAATAGAAACCTTAAAGCATTTTATTAAGAATTCAGATGATAAACTGACAAAGTGGAAGAGATTTAGCTGAAAAAATGTTTATTCTTAAATATGTTATCTTATCCATTTGTATTCACCTCACTCAAATCATTGTCCTTGCAGCTACAAAGTCATTCAAGGCAGCTGTCTTTTTTTTTTTAGGTTAACCTATAAAGACACTATAATGCAGTAATCATTTCAACTAAGATAAACATGACTTTCTCTAGATCTTACATTAGTCCTTTAATCCTAGAAATGTTACTAAGATGATAAAAGCTGACTTTGTAATTGTCTTTATATGTCTCTGAAGGTTCATCACTACACCTAGATTTCGGGCCTGGTCACTAGTTTGTGCTTGTAATAATTGTTATGAAAATAATGTATTTATATATCGAACACAGATGGACTACTATTTACTACATACATAACTCTTGAAGGCAGTTTGTTCAACTGGATTCTACTTAGGGGTGACGGTGTAAAAGGGGGTGAAACCAAATGAAAGCCACACCACTCAGATTATTATTTTAGAACATTAAAAACCAAAACCAAACCTTTATGTATAAATACTTTTGCAAGTTACTGTATCTCCTTTTAATTAGCCTTTGATAGAGATGTGGCTTTATCCTTCTGAGGAGGCTCTTTTGTCAAGTTTATGAAAAAGATGAGGCCATAAAGTTTAATTTCCACCAAGCGAGAACAAATGCACATCCTTGAGATTTAATAAAAACCCAATCGGAGGAGGCCAATAAAGCAAGTGGTGGGAGGTTATTGCGGTTACGGTTGATGACCTTACCCCTGCGGACCAACCTGTGGGATTCCCCTTGGCACGCATTCATTCACCAGCTGCTATTAAAAGTCTAAATTGTGGGACCAGGACAGCCTGTAGACTCTAGTTCCCCCCCCCCCCCCCCTGCTAGTTATATTATTAATATATTTCCAGCAGTGCTGTGGAGACTGAGAGGGGTTGTTGGACGGTTAAAAGTGATGCAGAGATGATGCAGGTACCCAGAGACTGTTTTAAATCAGTTTTTTTTTTTTTTTTCATTTTTGACTGTTTCGCTTCACACTTTTAACCTTCTAAAGCTAAAGTTCCTGACACAAACATGACCCGTTGAGGGCAAAATGTCGGGTTTGTAAGTTTATTTTTCACAAGGAGCAACAAAGACAGATTTTCACAGCCTCAAATGAATTTCCTAAGTGGAAAGAAGCAGAGCTAAACATGGGGGAGGACGGGGTCTCTGGCACTAAATGCCCTTCTAAAAATGTTTCTCAGGACTTTGAAAGGTCATTAATTTGGCGGCTCTTTTTTTTTTTTTTTTTAGTTCCCTGACAATCGTCATCAATCAGAGGTGTTATTAGTATTCGCTTGAGCACAAGCTCTTGAGTGTGTCCCTGCTCAGATGGAGACCACACACTATTAGGATGAGGTTAAGCTTGTGGATGTCACTTCACATTGTCCCCTCTCACCTCTTTAGGATTTGGTTCTGCTGAATAAGTAAAATTTCTTAAGCAGGACGAGGAACAACTGGGGAAATATATGAATTTGCAAAGTAATGTTCTCCATAAAATGTTACTTATTCTTTAATGCTGCAAAGAACAACTAAAAAAAGTTATTTACCAGAATATTTCCAGTGTACAAACAACTTTAAACCTCCTAAGCTATGGTCTCTGTTTCTATTTTTGAGTTGATCTGCATCTACCCTTCCCCTCCCATCTTCACAGCTTTCGCGCAACAATAGAAACTTGTTTCCGGGATCTGTGCGTCAGGCTCTGTGGTCTGAATGACCTACCAGCATAAAAGCTAAGACCCCCTGACAAGGGTAAAAATGGGAGGGGGTTATGGCTGCCATGACTGGAATGATGTCATTTTGCCAAAACTGTGCTGCTAGTAAAATTAATTTTAGAATTTCCTCTACGAATCGTGTGTTGTGTGCAAGCTGCATTTTTCTGTCTTCACTTTGTATTTTAGCTTAAATTATGTTTGAAAAATAATGCCTTAAAACATCTTTTTTTATTTTATTTGAACATGTTGTCACATTGCATGCATAGAAGAAGTATTGTATTGGAATTATATCTGTGTGAGCATAAGGTCATAAAAACATCAGACAGTTCCAGTTTGTTCTTGGTGAATTTTATTATCTGACATCTTAAACTTCCAGAAGCTAAAATCTTACTAGTTTTATAAAGAATCGAAAACACAGCTGGACCTCATTGGTCTGTACCATTAGAAAACAGATTAAACCAAACAACAAAATTTACACAAAGGAAAGTAAATAAAGTTATTAATCTAATTTACAAGCTCATCTACACAACTAAATCATCTGCAAAGCAAAATCATTAATACATTAAACTCAGAAGGTTACTTTAAAGAGAATAAATAATGCTATACAAAAAGAAAACACTCCATTTGATTGCGTCCAGTGATGCAGTCAATGACATCATAAACAGGAAGTGCCGGCCCGGCCCATCCTCTGCACCTGTTCTGTTCCGGTGGTAGGATTTGAACAGAGGGACAAACGATGGTGAGTCTCAACAAACAAAAAAATAAACTTACGTGGAAATTTACCGTGTAGCTTCAGAAAAAAAAAATAGTTGATGTTTCAATAATGTTAGCTTTGTAAACGTGCATACATGTAAACTATAACATAATGTCACCACAAACAAACCTATGATAGTAAGTGAAGTAAAATGACAACACCAATGTTTTAACTGAAGCATCAAGGTCAACTATACAACAGATTAAATAAATTAGAAATATGCTTAAGGGACAAATAATCTTAATTCCAAAATGAATTGGTGTTCAATTGTGAAGCAGCTAAAAATTCCCATTTCTGGATTTGTGTGTGTATAATTCCAAGTTGTGTCACTGGTTCCCAATTGAATTAAAAGTCCAGACTTTGACTGGGCCATTCATACATTTAGGGTTGTTTTGCTATTGGAAGATGAAGCTTTAAACGAGTCTTAATTTTTGTGCAGCTTCTAAAGGAATATTTATTTATTAATTTATTTATTGGTCTTCATGAAGCTTTTTTTAGATTCTTATTTGAAAAATTTAGTTTGTAAAACATGTTGTTTACTTTATTATTACACACTACCTTGTATTGGTCTATCACAAGAAATTTGAAAAAAATTCAGCATAGGTTGTTGTAGCATAAGATGTTGAAAAATTCTAGGGGTGTGTCTTTTTAAACCACTATACATCTGAGCTGCAACGGTCCAAATTGTTCTTCACATTTGGTCTTGTTTTTAGGTTTCCTTTCAGTCAGCAGAGTTGTGTTGGCCAACTGGTTGCATAATCTCCTTTCTGCCTGGGAATTAACATGAGAAAGAATTTTGCTCTGCTTCACCGATTTTTATCATTTAAACACTTAAACAACTCAGTGCTTCTGTAAATTTATTGACCTGTTCTATTTTTTTTCTGTCCTAGAAAAAGAGAAAAATAAATATTTGTATCAAATGGCTGGACACACAGGAAGAAATGCTATTTACTAGATACGTTAAAAGTAAATTACACCATTTTTGAGGTTCAGAATGTACTAGAAAATAAGGTAAGTGCTGGCAACAACACTGTCTGGCTGTTGGACACATCCTCTCTTGTATTCAGTGCTGGCCATGAAACTTCCTGTAAATACATGATTGTTTACAGCAGAAGTTTCATACCCAGGATTTCTTAGGGTCAACATTTCTTCTGGCACACTGAGCCCGAACTGCACTTTATTCCCCTTTAATTTAACAGCTCCGGCAGCTTTTCTAGTTAAATCGACTGTTCATTATTGAGACCCGTTTTACGAAGGGGCTGTGAGGTGCAATTTAATGAATCTCTGGCACAAAGCTCCCTTTCAGTGCTGCCCGAAGAATAGAGGGCTATTTAGACCCTGCTAGGGCTTTATGTCAAAGGCGGCCCATAATAGCTGTCAGGCCAGGGCAGAAATTCCCACTGGCCTGGGAATGCACTAGAAATCAACTTTTGCCATGAGCAGATTAAGACAACAAGCTAGCAGTTGGGGAAGATTCTCAAACATACTGGCATCTGTTTGGGGACAAAGATTTTCCCACAGAAAAGAAGCAACTTCTTGCAACTGTATAACTTCAGTTTTCAACTTAGTAAATAATTAAATTACAAATAAACCTCTTAAAGCCTAAAACAAAAACAATTATCAGAAAACTCTGCTTTTTATGAATTGATCAAATGTTTTTGTTGGTTTAAGCAAAACTAAATTTCCTCTTTGTCTTTGATGTTTTCTGTCTTTAAAATTCATACATCTGGTTTTTGCAGTTTTGTATGTTTTTGTTGCATCCATAGACATATTTTTTTTTCAGATAAACATTACCAAAGTAAATGGAGAAAGAAAAAATTATGGCTTACATGAAAAAAAGGTTACCCAAACCAACCTGGCCCGATCCACCTGTACCACCATAAATGGAACATTTCTGACAACATAAAGTAGGTCAAATATTCCTCAAAAAACAGAAACATTATATCCTCCTCTGAGGACATTAAAAATAGAGGAGAAATTAATTGACATCAACCAATTTTGAAAGGTTTATAACTCCATATTTAGGGCTTTGGAAACCATAGTGAGAGCCATAATCCTCAACTACATAAAAAAAAGGACATTTAAAGCATTGTTGGTCTTATGGTTAGTTTATAGTTAAACTAGACAAAAATGTCCGCCATTGAAAAGTTTCAAGACAAAACTCACAGCTGACAAAAAAATAATATAAAAGTCTTACATTTACCAAAAACAGCCTGATAATCCCCAGGACTTTGGAAAAATTTTCTGTGACCTCATATAGTAAAAATGTTATGTTTTTGACAGTTTTCCAGTTCAAATACTTAAATGGGACTTAAAAACATGGCTGTTGTATTATGTTGGTCTTGGATTCTGACAATGTTTTGAGATGGCAGGTTATATTTCTCAGATAATTACATTTGTTTAATCTGAAATTTTTAAGTGTTACAAAGGCAACTATTGGCTGTAAAATGAGAAGAAATGGCTTTAGAAATATATATATATATATATATATATATATATATATTTTAATAGCGCTATTTTTAGTGTTCGACTGGTTAAGCAATTTGTTGGAATTGTGTTGTTTAGTGACTGCTTTTTAGTTGCAAAAGAAAATGAAACATGCCATCAAATGGGGCTTAAAAAGCCTTTTCTTCTCACTATTACAGTCATATCCAACAGTTCCACAAAAGCTGTCATGGTTCAGAGCACACACTGACAGTAAAACCAGCGGAGGAGCTCTCTGACAGAACACATTGTCTTCTGCTCAGTAGGAAATTTCAGACAAATCCCTCTTAGATGCAGGTGGTTGGGCACAAGCAAAGAGTTAAGTTCCCTGGTTTCCCTTTGCTCCTCCTCTTTGATGTTCTGACATCATCGGTCCTGCCCCCTGAAAGATCCCCTTCCTCATCCTCAGTGCCTGTCACTTCCAGTCTGGATTGTTTGTGGAAACTTCACGAGCAGCATCAGGAGCAGGTGTTTATCCGCAGAACAAAGTCATGCTTTGAAGAAACTTTCAGTTCAGGGATCACAGTGGATGCCACAGGTGTAGCCGCTGGGCTCGACAGAGTTATGGCGGTTCAAACTGCAATCATGAACCCTCAGTTTATGAGTTTTTGCTTCCCCGATTCTGTGATGGAGTACGACGTGGAAAAGAGTCTGGATGGGAGTCTCCTGTGCGAGGCAGAGAACGACGAAGACTTCAAAGAGACCACCAGGGACCTGCTGAGCTTCATAGACTCAGCCTCCAGCAACATCAAGCTGGCTCTGGACAAGCCGGTGAAGTCCAAAAGGAAAGTCAACCACCGGAAGTATCTGCAGAAGCAGATCAAACGCTGCACTGGTATTATAACACCAGGGAACACATCAGAAGCCCCGGTGAAAAGACAGGGTTCCCCGGTGAGTCAGCAGGGCCCTTTGCAGAGTAAAACTCTACAGAAACGAGAGGGGGGTCAGGCCAACTTGCAGAGCAAGAGCCTGGCTGCTCTCTTCAGCCCTGTGAAGGAAATAAGGGGGGAGAAGGCAAAGAAGCCCCCCATGAGGCACCGTAATCTGCCTCCATCTTTCTTCACCGAGCCTGCCAACTGCTCCAGAGTTAGCTCCACGTCTGGGATGACGCTGAAGGACTTGGAACGAGGCAACCCGGAGGCCGCAGACTTCTTTGAGCTTCTGGGGCCCGACTACAGCAACATGGTGAACGAGCAGGACATTTATCAGGGCGTGCCTTTGAGGGGGCAGCCGGACCTGGGAGGCCTGGACCCTGCTTCCTATGACCATTTAGTTGGTGGTCTCCTCTACACCGAACCCTGGACTAACTGCTCTGGACCGTGTAAAAAACCCTCGGAGGGTCTGCGGACAGGTCCACCGCAGCCTCCAGTCTACAGTCAGGCTGAGGACACTTCTGTGCCCTTAGACGACAACGGACTGTGCACTTTGACCTTTCCTAACTTCTTCCCAGACTGCTCCATATCTCAGGTTACCTATGACTTAAATGGTGGATATAACAAAACTAATTTTTCATGTCTATGAGAAACTGAAAAGCTTGCAGACGGTTCTAACAGTAGAAGAAGACACTTTGATTTTCATTAACATTGCAACTGGGACGCCGTTTTCATGTTGCGTCTATGAAAAACCCATTTTACAAAACATCAAAAGCTTCATGTGTGGATTTTTTTTCCATCTCAGGCAATTAACAAAGACTTTCTGAAAGGATCTAATTGTGAGGTGACAGTGATGTTTATCCTGCATCAGTTTGTCCTGTAGTGGCTGATATTAACAGTGACGAAGCTGAACTAAACAACAGATGCACTTTTCCAACTTTATTAGTAAAGGTCTGTGCAGCAGCACAGAAAGGGGGAAACTAATTATTGCTAAAACAATGACTCCGTGTTTTTGTCTGCCAGAAATTTATTCAGAATTTACTTTCAGCTGGTCGACTGAACACTTTTCGTCCCCTTTTGGGAAGGCATTTATTGTATCTAGCTATTGTAACAGGACAAAATAAAGCTGGTCTTTATTGGTGTGTCTGTTTTCTGCTTATTGTGGATAAGTGTAACACAATTTTTCACTCGGTGACTACAACTGCATTCTACCTCGATGTGATTCTAGTGTTGAATTTAAAGGCCTGTTATGATAAAAACAGGCAACAAAATTACAAAACATACCGGCTCCCCCTAGTGGCTATGTTTTTTTTTGTAACGATATAAACCCATAGCACAAAGTTTGATAAGTTGGTGTATATCTGTAAAACTCAAGGCCTGGGGACCAAGTCTGGCCCGCCATAACTTTTTATGTGGCCCTCTGAGAAAAGGTACTTTTAATATAACAGTTGCTTAAATATTATTTTGTCAATCAAATCAAAGAAGTTATATCTGTGTAGAGTCAAAATAAATTAACATGAAAAGATGCTTAATATTTAATTTTAAGTAATAGAATGCAGCTAATAATATTTTAACAATTTAATGGGTAGTTTTATCAATATATTCTGCCACAATCGACCCTATTGAGTATATTTGTGATCTTCAGTTGGCCCAAAATGAAAATGAGTTTGACACCCCTGAGTTAAAAACTAATTCAGATTTATTTTCCAACCTTTATTTCTGTTTATTTTAAATATTATAGCTTACCGCTCATGAAAACTAATTAGTGTCTTAGAAAATCTATTGCGTGAAAACAATGAAAAATGGATTTTTAATACAGAAATCTCAGCTTATTGAAATGGGCTTCCATATGTTGTACAGTATCTGCACTCAGTACTCGGCCTCAACTGCTTTTACATGAATTACGGCATTAATGCATCATGGTGAGGAGGTGATAAGGAGGTCCAGGTTGCTTTAAAAGGAAACTTATGTTGGATCTGGGATTTTATATTTCTCTTAGTAGATTGAAAATGAGCTTTAGTTTGCTTGATACCAGAGTCATTAAAACAGAAACAAGTGGAAGACCTAGTGGAAAATAAAATCAGTTTCTTTATAAAGCTTGTCAGTAGATAGAAGCAAGAAATGCTCCAAAATGTCAGATTATGCATTTTTCTCATGTCTCGTCCAATTTTATCGATTTCATGACCATTTGCACGCAGGCATTTCCTTCACACATGCACTAGATGGCAGTAATGGTTCACGGAAGTGCTTCCCCACCACTCCCATCTGGCCATAAATGATGTATGATGTTTTGCATATCATTGTAGTCTTGTATAGTAAAAACCGAGTCGTTCATCGAATGTCTGCTTGCATTATAAAAATAGATTTGGAGAAATATGAGCAGCTGTTAAATTTGATATTTAATCACTGTTTTTATACTACTCCCATTTGAGAAGGATTCTCCCAAAATGCTCAGTCTTTTGAGCACAAAAAATGATCTAATTCTCCAATTTGAAGACATTTTCTGCAAGACCTGTGGTTTGCCTCCTGCCAGTTGGCTTGATTAGCAAATTGTTCATTACTATAATACATCATACACAGGGACAGACCATCATTTTATCTTTCTGTACACTGAAGTACACACACAGGCGGCATATGGATTTTCTGTCCCAGAGTTGACACTGGCTAATACATTCAGATTAGGCCCCACTGATGGCACAAGAACTGCATCCTGCTTTGATTTGATAAATAGTACAGTGGAGATGCTGTGTTTGTCCAAGTGATTAACGACTTCTGAGATTTTGCACATAGGAAAATCGAGACTGGAATGTTTGGTTTGAAAAAAAAAATCTGAAACTATATTGCATAGATACACATGCTGAATGCAGCTAAAACAAACGATTTACATTGCAGATAACATATGTAGAAAATGAATGGCAAAGGTCAGAGGCTCCTAAACAGGTTTAAGTTCTCATCGAGGACCCCTTTGGAGTCTCATAAACAAAGTAACAAAATATCTAAAGAATCATTGAGTATAAAAACGTTATTCTATTTTTAGCTCTTCATTTTTATACTCCATTCAATAATAATTCCATTGGTTTACCATAAATGCTGCTTACACCTTATTTTAGTTGGCCATGAGTTCATAGGGTTTTTTGCAGCAGTGTCTCTGATAGCAGGGCCGTTGGACGATTCCATCTGCCTTTTTCTTGACAGAAACTTGTCAGTTTCGTGGTTGCTATGCTATCCAGAAAAGCAAAGCAGCTTCATAAATTTGACCGGCAACCAAAAGGAAAGATGAGCAGAGCAAATAACATTGTGATAAGTTATTTTAGCTTATATTTTACAATGCTGATAAAAACAGGTTATATTTTATAATTAAAAAACATATATAATCAAATTTATTTCATATAATTTTTTAGATTTTTCTCACTTTCTTCCATCTTTCCCCTGCAGCTTCCTGATGACCCCCCACTTTGAAAAACTCCCATACAATAAGCTCTGTTTGGTTTCTGCTGTTGAGATGGATGTTGAGCAGGTTTTAAATTTGTGAATGTTAAGTTTAATTGTTGCAAAATATTCTGCTTACTTCTTTGTCTTCTGCATGAATTTTGTCAGATTACTATAACGGTCAAAGCTATTTATTGTTGCTGTTTAATACATTCCAATTTTACCATATGTTTCATTGGTATCCTCAATTTGAATATATTTTTAATAGTTTTTGGTCCTATAAACAGTAAACAGTAGCTTGTACACTTTTTAAAATATTGATCAGAGCATCAGAGAAATGTTCTACTCTGTCTTCTCCTGCAAATCCTTGGTGACTGAATAAACATTTACATTGCCAGATCTTGCTGTCCTCCTTTTACACATTCCCCCTTACACATTCCCGCATGGATAGCATTTTTTTCCCTATGTGTATTTTTTTTTTTTTTCTGGTCTTTACTTATTTTACCAGCAAACTTTGCTGGTGCTGTTATCAAATTCCTGCTCTGCCTTAAGGCGTATCCTAGCAACGCTAAAGGGCTGTACTTTTGGTTTAGGATTTAGCAGATACCACCAGTGATTGTAAATGTTCATAACCATAAAATATTGCCATAGTTTCCATATTCTTCAATGACATACCAGAAAAAAGGTATCAGAGTGACTACTTTTCTCCAGGTCTATGAAGTAATATCGTGGCACCTCTATATCTGTGTATTGGCTGCAAAAACAAAATAAACATAGAATTACAACAATAAAATAAATTTCTGTCATGCTCGATAGAAATACAAAATGATTTGTTTAGATTTTTTATTTTTGAAAACTCACTAAATTTAGCTCTTTTTTTTAGATTGTTTCAGTCTATGTGCTGATAATTTTAGAAGCAGAAATGAATGTTACTTTTTTTTTTCTTTTGAATAGGAGCTGCTATATCATGTTAAGTATATTTTGTTTGCATGTTTTGTGCAAACACTATGATCCTGAGAAACTCATATTATTATACTCAAGGTTATCGCATTGTGAGAATGTCACGCCTGCCTCTTACCACCTATTCCATAATGCTACATATCTGTTATAACCTGGAAAATAATTTCTAAAGAGAGCTTCTCTCTGACCAAAAGTTCTTCCTTTTGGTTCTTTTTAAAGACTTCCTGCTACATTCTTGAAATAAATTGTCAGCACCAAACAACTTCAGACATACAATTCTGAAAAGATGTTTCATCGTGAAATATTTTGCGAGCAACCTTCAACCTACCCAAGACATTCACCAACAAACGTTGTTTGTGGAGATGTGACTTTGGAGCTCACGCTACATTTTTCTACCCACCAGTGGTAACGGTCAGAATCAGTAGGCTCCTTTCTAAAGCCTGAATAAAAAACACAGTGGTCACAAGCAAAGGTGGTTCGTAAACATTCACTTTATATTAATATTTTATCCTTGGCTTGATCCTTTACTTTTCTGCAATGTGCGATTTCAGACAGCACCCACGGCGTACTTACTGCAGAGGACATCTTTTAGCATTTGTATTTTTGAAGCCTCAACACTTTCCTTTTTGAAATTATTTTATTCAGCGTTTAAGCACTGTTCTTTTCCCCTCAGGGTGTTGCGAGCTTGCACTGTGTGTATTTGTTGGGGTGATAATAAAAAAACTGTGCTGCTGACAAAAGTCTTGGATCCATTACAGACAACACTGCTCTAAAATTTTCATTTCTAGAAAATTATATTGACAATTTCAATACAAGCATCTTACTTGGCAGGGAGATTTAAACTGATTCACTTGCTTCTTGTGTAACGTCTTTGAATGTAAAAAAAACTCAACATCATAAAGTCGATGATTTTTTAACATATTTTTCATCTTATTGAGGGTTTACTTAATTACCATAGTTAAGGGCACTGGCATTTTAATTATTTAATATTTTATTGAAAAGTGAATTAAAATCAGTATTTGGAGTTGAAGGTGAAACTCAAATTGAGTCATTTCATGCTGATAAATTTGAAGTGCTTATTTTTTTGTTAATTTGAATTATTATAATACACACATGATGAAAACTGAACATTATCTGAGAAAATTCCAGAAAAATATGCAGTATACATTTTTCCATTTTTCTACAAACAGACCCCAGTGGACACACTGATTCACGCACGAATTGACACTTTCAAATTCACATCATCCAGAAGGACAAGGTCATACCAGCAGAGTTCATATTTTATCACAGTTAGGGTACCCTCCTCAGATATCTTTTTGTGGAGCAAAACGTGATGGCACATGTAGGCAATCAGTTGCCTTACATGGTATGTCTGGATGGAAAAAAGAAAAAACTATACAGATTACATGAGATCAGCAGACTAGTCTATGACATATTAAGGAAGGTTAAACACAAAAAGTTAGTCTTAAATAAGCTAGCTGTTCTCAAAATGCTCTAAGCATCATCATGGAAGGTTGAGTGGAAAGAAAAAATGTTAGAAAAATGTGCAAAAAGGATAAACGCAGTCTGTGTTTAGAGGTTTTAAAGCTAAACCATTTCAAGAGTTTGAGAGATATTCATGAGGTGTGGAATTTGAATAGTCCCAACATCCTGATTTCAGATTAAAATAAAGTTTGCATTTCATTCGGATATCAAACTCCCAAATTACTCGAGACCCTGAAGTTCCCACAGTTGGTGATGATAAAGCGCAAAA